TATGTATTTATGAAATATATATATATATATTTGTATCAGTTATCTAGTGCCCATAACACAAGTTTTAGCTAGCTTAACTTGAGTCTAGATGGCGCTGTGTGAATTGTCCTGAGACTGAAATTATTATTATTACTGTTGACCGTAGCTGACCTTTACAGTGCTGAAGGTACTCCAAACCAGCGGAAGGACTTATGGATTGCATGATGGATATGACCTAGGTCTAAGAGCACTGCTAGAGGTTTGAGAGAGATGTTCTAGAGAAACATTGTCTCAAGTCGTCGTAATTTTTATACTCCACCAACAATAGGGAAAATGCTGTTTTTTTATTTGATAGTTTACATTAGTACATAACAAAAATAAATATATAACACCAAAAAAGTGAATTAAAGATTTTATTTAAATAGTAAAATAATATAAACTAAAATGAGCACTTTAAACGCCTCTCAATCTGGTGCATTTGGTGTAACATTGGTCTAATTTTCTTGTTTCATTGTTATTTTTATTGGTATGCACCAATAAAAATAACAATGAAACTAGAAAATCCAAACAAATGCAGAGAATAAATTTTATAGACTACTAGCTGTCCCGGCAAACGTTGTTTTGCCATACAAATTTATAACGCTATAAAAAATAGGGGTTGGTGATAGAAGGGTGAAAATTTAGAGTTGTATATATTTTTAATGACACATAATAAAAAATATAAATAAAAAATTTTATCCGAAAATAAAAATATAATGTTAGTGGTGGACAACTCTTATCACTTAGGGGCATGAAAAATAGATAGTAGCCGATTCTCAAACGTACTGAATATGCATATATCATTTCATAAAATCGGTCAAGACGTTTCAGAGGAGTATGGTAACTAACATTGTGACACGAGAATTTTATATACTACACACGGTGCTGTTCGCCAGTTCTCTTAGTTGAACTCGGCTTTGACACGCTCCCGCGTGTCTAGATATAAGATTTTATTTTCAACTAAGTTCAACCAACTTGGAACAACCTACTATTTATGAAACAATTAAAAAACATTTATAGTCGTTAAGTAAGAAAATCTTATTAATATTATAAACGTGAAAGTTTGTGAGCATGATGGATGTTACTCTGTCACGTAAAAACATCTGAACGGATTTTGAAGAAACTTTACAGTACGTAGTTTATACATAAGAATAGAATAACATATAGGCTATAAATTACAGCGAGAGAAACCGCAGGCATGGCTAGTATTACATATAAGAAAATATTCAATACTTTTAGATAGATTAATTAATAGATTATAATGTAATACATTAATATGTATAATATTGAATTAGGTTGAAGATAAATGCAAAGAAACGATTGATCGTTGCTATGTGGTGCAATAATAATTACGTAATGGACACAAAATTGACACACGCCGACATTTTCGATAGATGGAATTGGATCTATTAAGTTCTACTGAAATACTTCTTACTTACGTACGAGTATATTATAACATAGGTATTAATATTAATTTATGATTATGCGCAATGATGTAAGTAGTTATTTATTCAATTAACAATTTTCGAATTTATTCAATATGAACTGACAAATTTCATAATACATATATTCGGTTTAATATTAAATTGATTTCGAATTAGGTTATAGCTTTTCACTAGATGCATATGAAAAATATGATTAAAATTTATTCTTCTAAGTCTATTACAGACTCTTATGATATTTCAAATATACCGTCCGTTCTGAATGCTTTCGAGCTGAGAAGAGCTGACAACAAACGCATACTCATATATGGTACTTATCTGATCTAATTTGGACATTGAAAGTCCCAATTAGATCTACTGTGTGGATTTTAAAATTATTTTATCAATAAAAAGCCACGTTAATTGTGAGTAGGCTATATTACGCTACGATCTATGGTAACTGAGCTCCAATGAAAACGTGGAAAATGTGACGCAGACGAAGTTGCGCAGGTCAGCTAGTAATTAGTAAAGAGGTGTTATTAACTGTTGGCCCTATTGCCAGTTATCTACGCTGTGAAGTTGACCTTCAAGTGGTCCTCCTTGGAAACCATTCTTATGCATTCTGATGGATTGATGCTATAGCATGTGGTAACGGTATGCGCTGGTGGAACGCCGTGAAATATAAATAGAATGAGGATAAAGTTAAGTCAGTTCATCAGTCTATATCATTCAACTGCAATTAACCACGAGTCTATCATCATTAACAAAGAAACAACTATCAGTTGGTCCTTATCATATTATTTTATAGGATCTTGTACTATATTAAACGTTATTTATGTTCATATAAAAAAGTCACCCCAAACCTTATTCCGTTCTTAAAAAGGCTGAAAAATAAATTAAGCATTTTGTGTTCACTTTAAGCATTTAATCGATTATTCAAAAAAATCGAAAATATATATACCTAAGTAATTAAATAATTATAAGTGAAAGTAATTTGAACGACAATAGATGTCTAAAATCTTTCTGAGGTTACGTTATGTCTTGTTAGAATTGCAATGTGGTGAGTAGTAACCGCATCCATAATGACAAATTGCGTCATAAAATGGGAATAACTTGCGTTTTCGTATCGACGACGCCGTATGAAGATTTGTAAAGTGTCTGTTTTAATTACAAAGTTCGATATAATGTGATATGTATCAAGACCTCTCAGTTACATGAACGAAGTTGTGAATAAAACGACCCAACTCATAGTAAGTGGTGTTCTATACAAGAACAGCACTACGGAAATCCCATTATCACATGAAGCCCACCGTACTACTCATGGATTGCTATTCCGGAGGTCTACATTATTAGTGCTTTTAGCCTATAATTTCATAATATCTCACCCTACAACTTAAATACAGCTTATAAATCAAGCTGCTTGGCGGCTGAAAAAGGTGAGACTGAGGTACCTACCCACGCAGAATACCCTTACAACAAAAATACAACGATGACAAACAATAATAACAAAAACAATGTCCTAACAATTATCTTCTAAATTACCTACAGATAATTTACATATCTACACTAATTACATACATTCAGTACCTATCTGAATGTACCTACCTAATGTTGTTTAATATATTTTCCTTGTAATTTTAGGGTCCGCATTTACTAAACGTTTCTTTTTCTAATTTTAGTAAGTAGGTATACGACTACTTGATGCTATAATTGTTTCTTGGCACATTATTATGGGAAATTCTGCGATATTCCGTGATACCTTATAAAAATCCCTTGCGAATTAAGATAGTTCTAAAGCGAATAACAACTTTTGCTTTATCCATAGAGTACCTTCTATGACCAACACCGTCTGTGTCTATCTTAAATGTATAGTTCCACCAAGTTTTAACAAGCTAATATCTTCACCCGGTGTCGCAGTTTCAAACGCACTGTTGTCGTTAAACAGTATTTCTACGGTTTTACTTTAGTTTCAATTTCTGTCATGGGGTCCGATAAGTTTGTGGCTGTGCCACATTTTATAGACGGTAAGGACAGTGACAAAAAATAAGACATGCACACTTGTGCATATCTTATTTTTTAAGGGTAGGTACTATGTGTATTAAAAAATAAGACTTATGAACCTTGGTTAAGTGGTAAGCCGTTAAGGTATTACAAACGTATTAACTTCCTTATTTATAATATAAGTTAGGATAGGGGGTTTAAGAAAGGCCCTTTGCATTTTATTTCTTTAATATGGGACGTAGCGTGAAAGCATTTAAGTATGCCTCGAGCTTAAAAATCATTAAAACGTAGATAATTTAGTAGCGTCCATTGTATTCAGAGAGTAGTTGACAAAACAATAAACGTTGTGCGAAAATATCAATTATAAACTATTTATGATTAGTACATTGACTTTGACTCCAAAAAAAGAATGCCAATATCCGCTTGCGGTGAATGTCTGTGAGGAGAAAATAAATTAATAATAAATAAGGGCTATTATATATATCTAAGTATATATTATAAGAGCTGTATATATGTAGTTATGTACCTACGCTTTGAAGTAAGGTTTCAACAACCTTAGTTCAAGGCATAATAATAGGTAAAAAAATAGAATTCTTGTCTGTAGGTTTGTTTATGCTCATGTCAGGAACGGTTGAACAGATTTAATCGCGGATTTGGCTGATTTATTAATTACAATAAGTTTCTCTTAACTTTCGGTGATTGTTCCGTTCCAACGGATTTACAACAATGTTATAATCTATTGATATTCGAATCAGACGAACGAAATAACGGGCTCAACTTGTTATTACTATAATAACAAGCTGTCGTCCACAGCACTAACATGTATAGAAGTAGTAGCTTGCTATCGGTTCTAGGCAAGGATTACAACAACCCAGATGTTGTGCACTGGCTGAAAAACTTACATTGTATATACTCCTACATATATTGCTAACATTGTGATTATACAGCACACGTTTTTCATAAAGGGTCCTTGATTTGGATTCTCAGGGTTCAAATTTATCATTTCCTAAAATGTTCCTTTGTACTAAGTTGTCACGTTTTCTAGACTATGGTCGATAGATGTTCGAGATTAGTTTTTCATAACTCATAAATACCTACTCATAACATATGAGGTAATGAATTTAAAAAAATATCCATTATGGGATCCATTAATTTTACTTTCACTAAGGTACCTGGATACTAATAATTGCTAAAATTTCAATCAGGTACAGACACGATATTATTACAAAATTGACGTAGGTAGGTAGATACATGTGTATATATGAATTTGCATTTGTTAACTTAGTTCACTTAATATTGTATTATAAATATAATGCAATTACAAAATATAATATAAGGCATTCAAAAACACAATGAAATAACACAATTTTGCAAAATAACAATAAAATATTAGCAACCTAATTTGTTAAAATAACAATAGGCATCTATTATTAACAATCACGATGTATGTACGTATATAAATGCAGTGTCAGGGACGATATTTAAAAGATAAATGCTAACATTGAAAAACTTAATCAGTAATTACAGCCGAATAAAAAAATTATCAATATACGTACGTACCTTCATTAAAGCAAATCTCTGATCATCGTCGATCCCGACAACGTTATTGGACACTGGCGCCATTTATCACAAAATTTGTTTTGGGACAAATATTTAAATGTTTGCACAACGCGATGTACGTGCTACGAGTTCGAGCGTCGACACGCAAATGCTGCCTGCAAATGTTTTGCAAGTAAAACATTCATCGTGCGATTATCGTGCTCATATACGTTGTAAACAATAACAAATTCTGGATTGCAATATTACATAAGTAGACGGTGAGCGCCATGTGAACTCAACGCCGATCAGACAAGCGGCCTGAGCATATAATGATTAAGTGTGGTTCAGATGAGCTATTTCCCGCATAATCTTAGATTGTGGTATGAACTACCTGCCGAGGTTTCCTCGAGAGAGACTACAGCATAGGGTTTCTCAAGAAGGGTATATTAAGGTTTCTTAAGGGTCGACAACACGCACGTTGCACCCTGGTGTTTCAGGAGTCCATAGGCTACGATCACCATTTACTATCAAATGGACCGTACGCTTGTTTGCCATGATCGTAGTATGAAAATATGACTTTTTTTATTGTTTGTCACTATTGTAGCATAAGAAATGACTTCAAGGGATGAATATGGAATTGTGCATCTGCCTGCGCCAACGGTATATCCTGGGGGTACTTGTACAGTAAAACCATAGTGGATTGTATTCGATATTTATACCTACTGCACGGGTAAAACCAGTACCTTATAACTTGTATCTTTACCGGTGTTGACGCGTATAAAATGTTCATAGGTGGTTTTTTTTTTTTTATGGATGATAATGGAATGGTACTAACGGTTTACGCTGGCGGGGCACCAGTGGAGGATGATAAGATGAACATGAGGTCAGGTTAGTTAGCCCATCGTGACAACCTCACCACGAACTTATCACGATGGTTTCCAGGGGGAACCGCGTGGAGGTCAACCTGACATGGTACATTGCTAGTAATGGGGTCAAGAGTCCACATTACTAACAATCTCCTTTCCCCCTTCATAGGTGGTAGTGGTACTAGATTTTAGGCAAAGTGTAGACAAATAAACAGTTATTAGTTCTAATATATCTTCACGCTAAGCCTCTTATGGGGTAAACGGAAATAATAAAAAATACATCGATTTAGTATAAAGATGTAATGAAATTAACATAAATAAGTATTTACAGTTTAATCATACTCGTTTGTAACCGTTTTGTACATCATGTACATTATAAGAAGAGCAATTAAAATGTAATTGCAAATGTGAATTGATATATATATTTACATACGTAAATATGTATATATATATTTACAAAACTGTAGATATTAATATAATGTACTGTAATTTTAAAGGAGTATTGTTAGCAACAGCTTACAAACTGTATACTCATAAGGATTTGTTTTTCATAAATTAACCATAGTCTACACAAGGCACAAAAGTCAAATGTATTTATTCGGTTTAGTTAAGAAATCATTGTATCTTAGGTATCTGTGTATTGTATGTACATTAATAACTTTACATAGACATGAAAATTAAACAAAAATGATGTATAGAGCATAGGTAACATTGTATACATATGTATTAAAATGACAAAGTAATCAGTAATATTATCTCTGATCAATGGGACAGTTGACTGGCAGACAATGAATTTGCATACGAAATTGTATACATGGCTGACGGCTGATGCAGTCTATTATATATAGATAGATTAAGTCCATGTATACAATTTCCTATGCAAAAGAATAAATAAATAACAGAAAAAGGTTCAAACTTTGCATAAATTACATTCTTTGCAAAAAAGTTTATTACAAAACCCACAGTGCTGATAATATTATCTGATGGCATAAAGAATGTCTGTGCAGCATTTTCTATGTTGATTTTTGCATGTCTCCTTCTTATTAATGTTAGTGTAAATTACCACAGCTTCCACATAACATGCTAATATAAGAGTATAATCAGTTGTGATGTATGGCCACAAGTGGCCACGCCACTGGCTGTCTGGATATCTAACAGATGGATCATTGGGCGCCCTAAAAATATGGTGCGGTGCAGTGATTTCTGGCTAGCCCGTTTCCCGTTATACTCCTGTACAGATGCTGCTTGTAAGGACTGGTATACAACCATTGTCCTGTCTGTTCATAGTTAATGAATATTGAATTTACATTGGTATAATTATTAAAAAAAAATAGATTTCCTTAATTTATATTTTCCTAAGAACCTTTTCCAGAGAATTAACAAACACAACAAAAAAGAATTAGTGAAATCAATCCAGCCATTCAAGTATGGTGCTGTGACCAAGAGAATTATATATATATTACCTTGAGTTGCTTATGCAGATCTTACAGTTTAAATGGTAAATGCCAGTATTCATTCAAGATACAAATGAGTAGCATATTTTATTCGGTAAAAAGAAAAAATATATAAATTAAATGTGTGACAATCTAAACTCAATGTATGACTCAAAGTAATACTTATACAGAAAGGAATATTTGAATAATTATTAATAATTTCATAAACATAATACATAATTTCATAAACAAAAATAGTTTCTCAACAATCTACTAGTTTCAAAATACAAACCATTCAATTATAGCCAATTCTTTCAGACTATGATATATTGTTTAGTTATTATTGCCATATTTATATACTTATTTAATGCTTATCATCTGCACTGGCTTCTAATTTAGTATTTTTTAGATTTTATCACACATCAATTGAACTATAACTCTATTTGAAAAGTGTAATGTTTTAGTCTATGTTGCGGCTTTGCCTTAACATAGACTGTTCTAAATTTAAATTCATAACGTATAAATATGTTTAAATTAAGAACATTCTCTAATTTCAACAGTCTTATTAATGTTACTTCATAACAGTGAAAACAACACCACCTCTCTCTGGTTCTTCATCATGAACTTCTTTATCACTACCATCAATGTCTGACACATCTGAATCATCACTATCTGCTTCTCTATACTTACCAAACTTAGTAATATCTGCAGGAAGGGCAGCCATTTTAATTTCAGTCCGAGCTAGCAACTTTTCTGCAGCATGTTTGGCTTCAACCTCCTTCAAATGTGTATTATATGATTGTTGGAGTTTCAATGATTCCTCTAAGGACAATAACTTTGCTGGACCATGCACAATAGGTGGTGGTGTTGCCGCAGTGACTTCCCAGTTTTTATGTTTTTTCCTACGGACCTCTTTTTCAGGATCATGTACATTTGATTTTGTTGTCTTGTATGGTTTGAACTGTTCTAACTGTTTTATATTCACATTGTGTTCAGTTTTATCAACTAAATACTTTACATGTGGTACATCACTAATGTCTGCCAAGTCTATTGCTGTTATTGTAGATTTCTCAGGCTTTAAGACTTTCACTTGTTTTTCTAGGGATGTGCTTTGACTGAGAATGTGTAGAACATCCTCAGGTTCACTATTGTCATCAGAATCTAGATATTCATCACTTTTACTTGTAAGTTTTCCTTCCCATTCCACACTCTCCACGGCTGAACTATCAAGTTTCATACCATTAAACAAACGACATGTCTGTTCTTCCTCTTCCTTCTCTTTTAATGTACTAGCTATTTTATTATAAAACGACTGGATTTTATCTCCTTTATCTGCTAATTTATTTATAAAAGATTTGTTATTAAGAAGTTTTAACTGTCTCTCACTAAGTTCTCTCAATTCTTGGACGGTTTTCGTTGATAAATCAATGATTTTGCCATCAATTTCTGTCTTAGGTGGAGGCGGTAAAATTCCGGGTATTTTCTTATTTATTTTCTTCATGATTTTCTATATGAATATAATATAAAAAATTCTAAGTGAAACTTCGAAGTACTATGGGCTCCTAATATAAATAGCAATGACAGGAAATATGTAATATTTGAAATTGTTGTGATCACTGATGATGTGATCAGGAGTCAGGAGTGTATCTTGCCTAAACCGTAATATACATGCAACTGATGAAAAAATATTGTATTATATTTTTATATCCAAGTGAAAGAGGATATATAACATTAAATATAAATTCTTATAATAAGTCGGTTCCGCCAAATAAAAACATGAAAATATTAGGAAAATTGCTATATAGTTTGTCACTTCGAATGACTCTGATTGATAGTATTTGATAGCTACCGCTCATTTACCAATTGACATCGACAGATTAGATTAGTGATTAGAATACAGAGCAAATAATAACATCTCTTTTTGTGATAAAAGTCTTAGACCGTACAGCCTACAGAGCAAATAACATTGTATAAAAGTCGAAACCTCACTTTAATTTGATTGAAACTATGACTCTAATAAAGAGATATGCACTGTTTCACGCCAAAATCGTTTCGTTTTGATAAAGCTGGCTTTAATATGGGCGTTAAACTACTAAAGTAATAATAATGCATATCATTATTTACATATTTATCATATTGAAAAAAAGAGTTGCACAGATTGCAATTGAAATTTTACATCCATAAATGACAGTAATGTCTGCTGTCACAGTCAACACGTCTGTCGACTCAGTTATATCAGTAAAGTAAAATTACCATTTACTTAATCAATATTATTTTCTTCAAATAAAAGCAGTCTTATACTTGTATGCATTTCCAAATTACTAATTACAATATGAAAGCAGTTTATCGATATTTGACATCGTGAGATCTACATATTAAATTTGAAATAAATAAAGCAGCTACTTTGTATCCTTGTGCGTCAACATGGACGATGTTACGGTATGTATTTTAGCATTTCCTTAATTTATTGTCTTTTGTAATAATTAATTATTTATTCATAACTACTACTTAACACGAATTTATTTAATTGTTCTCTAACGACAGTTAACTTGATTTTTATGATGAGACAAAATATACAATTATTATAACTCACGTCTTAAAACAGGGTGGAATGTATTCTTAGCATTATGGATTAGCTTCATTGCTATATATGTCAGGCTATGTCAGATTGACCTCCACGCGATCATCCTGGAAACCATTGTGCTTAATTTCAGATAAGCAGCCCATGATGGGCTAACTTTCCTGACATGACATGCTCATTCCATTATCCTCTATTCCGCCAGTGTACAGTTAGAACGTGTACCCGACACGATATTCATCATTATGCAATCAAAAAACATCTTAAAACATTTTTAAATGCATAATTGTTCATAAAAAACAAAAGCCTAACATTTGTTTCAAATCAAATCAGAAATAATTTATTCATGTATGACATTTTAGCCACTTAAAAATGTCAAGTTTTTTGTGTTAATATTTTTCCTTATTATCCATTTCAGTATACAGATTCAATTGAGAAGAAATAGCAAGAAACTTAACTTAATTTCTTTTTAAAGGCAGATTATTTACATTATGTAATTATATATTTAGAATAGAATAGAAAATAATTTAATGTTATTTTATTTCAGCTACCACTGTACTTGGAGCCGATGCAACAGAATGAGTTGTGTGACAAGAGACTTTGGATCGGCAATCTTGATACACGAGTTAATGAGTATGATTATTTTATCTTTAATGTATATATTTTTTTAATCGTTGTCAGTACATGAGGAGTTGCAATGTATATTGTTTGATTCTGCAACTTGGTTACCACTTTCCATCAGGTGGACTGTCAGATTTTTTCTAATTACTTGTTTTTGTACATAACTGCAATGCTACAAAATCTGACCATTACTTCTCATACTTGAACTACGCATTTCTGATTGCTATTAGATAGTTTTCTTTTCAGTTACTTGAGCTATGTGGTATTCCTATTGCCAAGTTTATTTATTTAAAGAAAAAAAATATAGGCATACAAGTTGCGGGTAACACAGCTAGTCATAAATACTTACAACTTTTATCCCCTCTACATCTATTCCAGTTTATGAATATTTTTAATAAATGATTCCTTTTCTTATTACCGGTATCAATTACTGAAAATGGTCCGTGTGTATGGAAACATCGAAAAGTTTGATATGCTGTTTCATCGGAGTGGCCCCAACATTGGCCAACCACGGGGCTTTGCCTTTGTTACGTACAAGCTGAGACAGGATGCTATTAACGCCATGAACTCACTGAATGGCCAACTCCTTGGCACCAAAAGGATTTGTGTAAAATTTGCTAAGAATATGGCAGTAAGTATAGTTTTGTTATATTTCTTTTTTATTATGTGGATGGACTCAATCTATTTTGCAAATTAATTATTTTTTTCCAACAATTATGTTTGTTTATCATAATTATACAAGAAACGGACACTATAATATTAATGGCACAATGTGTCCTTTAATTTTCGAAACAAAGAAAAATCAAGTATTTTTATGATGTACATTCATTACTCTATGCTAAAGTAAAAAACTAATGTTTTGTGGCTTCTGCAACTAATAGCAACAGTGGTGATGAAATAACAGTAGAGTAATCATTTACACTAAATCAAATTACTCATTTCTTATATTCATTATACCATTCACTTTATCATTTAACTTCATTCTATTTAAGTTATTTACATTGTTGATTTAGTCTATTTTATATGAGTATTAAATTTTGTTATTTTCACAGGAAGATCAAGATAAACCAAAACCAGAACTAGGTATAGCTGCATTGGCAGGAGCAAAACCGGAATTAAAACTCAGTAAAAAGACTGCCATCCAGTCCATTGAGGCCAAACTAAAGATGATGGAAAGTATGAAGCCGGGCGATGACTTTGTTATAAATAAGTTGGCAGCGAATGAAACTCCAGTCATTGCTCAATATCAGACGAAACAGCATCAGCCACCCAATAAGTCTGCCAGTTCGTTTAGGCGACGACATCCGTACCATAAAAAAAGATAATCATGTTAAGTCTCTCTAACCTGTGACAAATAATAATAATCCTGGACAATTCACACAACGCCGTCTAGTCCCAAGCCAATCAGAGCTTGTGTTATGGGCACTAGACAACAGATATAAATACTTAGTTACTTTATTTTGTAAATACATACATGAAAGACCTAGAAAATACTCAGCAATCGTACTTATGAGTAGCTATATAAACCGTGCGAGGAATCGATCCTGCGAACATCGGTAGTATGACGGATAGATAAAAGATTTGTTGATGTTATACAAATACAAATAAAATATCAGATTTTTCTGGTTCCTTTTTTGTATTCATTTAAACTATCTGATTAATCTGATTTGTCAAAATTAATAACTAAACAGTTTTTTAAAGCCGTTATGTCAGTACAGAAAAAAGAACAAGGTATGAGGTGTTGTATTTGATAATAAATTATTTAAATTAACAATCACATTAGATAATAAATATATGTACGAGAACTGTAAGGCCTGTTTGTTTGTAATCCTACAAACATCTGATTAATTTGTGAATACTATTATTTCGTGTATTATGTGTTGTGATTTTTGCTTTCATTATATTAATGAATTTATTATATTTATAAGATTGTGATGTAACATTCTCAAAAACATGTTTTAGATTATTATTTTTGTTAATTTTATTATTCAAGTACAGTCTGAAATGTCTCTGTCTTGTTCATAAAAATGTAAAAAAAAACTGATTCGTAAATAAATAAATTATCGCTCGCTCACTATTTAAGTCAGAAAAGGCAGTAAGCCAATTTATCTCTAAGCAATTGTTTTTGTATTTTTAGTTCGCAAATATAGTTTCGACTTTTTATACTTCACGTGTAGTTTAGCGTTCTAGCTTTTTTACTTGTTCTGTTGTATTTGATTAACAAGGCTAGTATTTTATCAAATGCACTAAAGAGCTCGATCTCCATTAGTTAATATTTGGAAGAGCTTTTCCTAACTACACCATATTATTCTCAAAATGATAAGTTCGTTCTCACTTTTTTTCGAAGTCATACTCCTGTCCGGTTTTTTTAGAAGGCTAGTTTTATCTAAAGAACTAAAGAGCGCGATCCGCCAACTAGTTCGCGTTTGGGAGAGCTTATTCCTAACTGGTTACCGATTTACACAAGATACTGAAAGTGATAAGGCTAAGTTTTTAGTTATTAAGTATTAATCGTTGTCTCCGAATTTCTAAAACTTAACATGTTGTAATACCTGTGTGTTCAATTTAATTTTAAGTATTTATGCGTACTCAGGAGTGAATTAGTATAATGATAATTAATTATAATAATCGTGTGATCTAATATTGTGAATGTATAAGAGTAATTTGTTACATAACGGGACTGACATAGATATTACAAAACTTGTATCTATTTGTTCCAATAAAATGTAACTTTAAAAAGATCTTTCATTTCAGTAAAACAAATTTTAAGTATAAATATTTTATTATAATCATAACTGGTTATAGTAACAAACTTATTCTATAAAAAAAATAGGTTGAAATACCATGAGTAAAATAGAGATCTATTTGACAAATAAAACACTGGTTTATGTTTGTATAGAAATAAAATCATTAAGAATGAATATTCTCTATACTTCTGCCAGTCTTGAAAAGACCAAACATCCAAATTATCACCAACATTGAAAATGTAAGATTATTCCATATCACTATATATATTTTAGAGTACATTATACACTCAAGTTTGGGATATCAACAGTTTTTTTTGTAATGGGATTCTACAATAACAAAATTTTTGTAAGTTGAGTGTTCAGGGTAGTTCAGTAGTTTAAATATTATTAAACCGCTGATATTATGAAAACGAAATCTAAAGTTCTAAGGAATAAGATCTCTTATTGCGCGGAAGGACAATTTCCAGATTTCCTTTCATAGTTTATGTTACACTATAAAATTATGCTCCAAGTTTCAGCCTCATAGTTTTGGCTGTAAATTTCAGTCAGAACAAACAAAGTAATGACATATAATTTATTACTAATAGAAAACCAATTTTATCTACAATAAATAATATTGTATTAGCTAAAAAAAAAAACTTAAAACTTTTGATCGATCCCTTATTTCATTTTAACGGGGATCTAAATTAGGAGCTTAAATTCTAGCCCAGACTAGACACATCCGGCGGTCTCGAGACCACAACAAGACCTTTCACTAGTTTGAAATGCCTAACAGTACTTGCACCCATTTTCGTCCTGAGAAGCTGTAAAGGTGAGCGGTTAACAGCACTAAAAGAGTTTAAAACAAGTGAATATCCAAGCCCAGTATTCTCTTCCTTAGCGCACCCAGCTATACAAAATTGCTTGCATCCTGCATTTATAGGTTTCGTCTTAATTGTTTGCTGTTTGTTATTAAACTATGACGTGATGTAAACATACCTAATGTTTACATCTATACAAATATACTTTCGCTTGTTCGGAAACCTGGTGATACAGTATTGGTTAGAGAACTAGCTAGTTTTTGAGAGGAGTCTGTGACCATCAGGTAATCGTCTTCCTCAGCTTCTATTTTCTTCTTCATGCAAGAATACTGTGTTTCATCATCACCTTTGAGAAAGTCTTTGTATTCAATGCAGAGCGGCCAAATTATTTTTCCAGATCTGAAAGGAAATATTATGTATGTTACAACATATTTTATACTATTTGAAATTTATGGTCATGGTATATGGTTGCCGCTAAATAAGTAAAGAACAATTTGTTTAATGGACTGGAACAACAGTGGGTCATACAGAACATTTATGGTAACTTTTGTAGACATGTTTTTTATTATTTATTATTTTATTGTACATGAATAAAATAAATAATTCTGGGCAGGCATTTATTCCTAAATTAGGCGGAGCTTGTATTAAACAACTGACAGAAATAATGTGCACTAATGATCCCATTGCTAGCAATGTACCATGTCAGGTTGGCTCCCTCTGGAAACCATTGTGGTAAATTCACCAGGAATTATCTAACGACGAGATGTCACATTCATCTTATAATCCTCCACTACTGCCCTGCCAGCGTAAACCATTAGCGCAGACGGGTGCAGCATTCCATTATCGTCCAATAAAAAAAATGGTAGGGATACTAATAAAGAAATTACATGCATAAGTGTAATTTTTAAGTTTGAAGATAGTTGACAAAGACTAAGGTGTTAACAAATGAAAGAATCTTTAAACTTACATAGGTAATGTGTATGGATCGTACGGGAACCATTCGTCATACTGTTGTATTGATGTTGACTGTAACGTATGTCTCATGTTTTTCTCAATAATGGCTTGGCAGTATACCACTTGGTGAGATCTCGTCACTGACGAGAATGTGTGTGTGACTTGCGGCGGACACGTGCGAAGCGGGTTCAGGTTGCAAGTCACGAGGCGAGGTAAGTTTAGCGATTCGACGAAGTTGACACCTGAAATCGGAGCAATAACATAAAATTTTCCTTTCTACAACATATTACAGAATTGACGCTATTCTACCATATATAAAAATAAATATGAAATTAAATTAAAAAATCTCTGAAATGGTGGACCGATTTTAACTGGACCTTTACTCGCAGATAGCTAACGTTATAAGGAGTGAACTCATGCTACTTTTATCATAGAAAAATTATATTAGTAAAAGAAAAGAAAGAGGAAATTGACAGAAAAGCCTCTGGTTTGAGGACTATAAGCTGAGCTTGTGCTGTATATACTAAAAAGTGATAGAAATACCTTAATAAATTCAAACAAATACTTAGAATCATCCAAACCAATATAAACAATCATACCTATTAATCAGACACATGAATACAATCGAAACCACGACTATAATAAATGTTCTAAACCGCTAGACCACTGAAATACAGATAAGGTATAAAAATATTAATACTCACTTCCTTTATTCATAAATAAGTGATGATTTTTAAATGCTACAAGATAGAAAATTGCATGGCAAATTGCATAGAATGCTCCATGAACTTTTGTGTTGTCACTAGCTGTAGTTGATTCTTGTGTTGCCGTTATGTACGAGTGGCACCATTCTGCCATACTTTTCAAGTATTGTACTAGTCTAGTGTTAGGTACTCGGACACATCTGGCTAGGAGTCCAGCGAGGTGGCTGACTGCGGTCCGCCTCGTGGCTAATGCCCCGGGTCCCAAACCGTGAAGACCAGCGGCGACAACCCACAAGTTCGAGAGGACCTTATCAGCGCATTGTTGGTTTATTGATATAGCATAGAGTAGCAAGAATTGGACATGTCTGTAAGAAATAAAAACTATTCTTAGTTCTTCAAATATAAAGGTTGGTACCAAATTTTGTGTGTAACGTATATTTATAGGAGATTGATACAAGAGCCGTGATCACAGGTTAACTGCCTAAATATCAGGAACTCAAAAATAACGAAAACGTGGTAAGAACCCATTAGTACTTTAATATTGGATGTGTATAAAAAACTTTTCTATTTGATAGACTTGAATGACATATAAAAAATAATAATAACCGAGGGCAATTCACACAGGCTGGGTGTATTGGTACTAGATAAATGATAGAATTAATAATATATATAATAAAACATAGAAAACACTAAAATAGATACATAGTCATGAATACAAATAGTACCGTGCGAGGAATCAAACCCGCGGCCATCGGAAGTAAAGCGGTGCGCTAAACCGTTAAATACCGGATACCTTTTTAATTCAAATGTATGAAATTATTTTGTAAACGTCATCACACTAAATCAACTGATCGTGCGATATAGTGCTTCTTCCTAGCAAAAACCAATTTACTGATCTGCTGGGGGTCTGTACTATTAAGGTACAGATTTACGACTTTAAAATGTTTGTAAATAAAGACTATAATTATCTTGTTATCATAAAATTACTATCTCATACAAGTACGCAAATAAAATACACATGTGTTATTGATGAATATATCTGTTACATAAGTTTTAAGTGCCATGAAATGAAAGATATTCTTTATCTATAAGTTGAAGTACCCTGGCAATGAAGATAATAAGAATTCTTTATGTTTATGCAAAATACCATAGACCTGTTGAAAAATAAACTGTTGTTTTCCTCATGAAAGTTATTGTTTTATTATTGAAACTATTTTTATTATGCATGATGTAATTTTTCATGAGAAGCATACTAAAATTGATACTACAAAAACATTTTGCTAATTTTAGAAATAGCATAATAAGTGATTTTAATGGTCTTTCATTTGGACGCTTCAGTTTTTGGTAAAAAAAAAAACAATAAAACTATTTACCTAATCCCATGAGTTGGTAAAATAACCCTTTCAAATACATTACATAACATACTAAGTGTTGTGTCTCTTTCATCTTCAAGCCATCTCAACATTTCCAGCATACAGTAGTCTAGGGTTTCGGAGACACTATTCTGATCTTCCATATCCATTTCAAATACTTCGGTTGGCATTTTATTCTTAGAATTGTCTACTATGTTAACATCCATCATAATCATTCTGAAAAAATAATTCATATAAATTTAAAAACAAATACTTTCTAAATTATTTATAAAACACTTTAGAAATCAACCTTTAAGTTAACTTTTTAATTTAATTATTATAATTGACATATATGTCCTGAGTTAGATTTTCCTTAAAAGATTCCATTCGGGTGGATGCACCCGCATAGGGAAGTGGGCGGCATATGTGATATAGTTGCCCAATAATAATTGCTTGAAGCATAAACTAGATTACTATGGTCACATTAGTATTTTATCAGGACCAGGCGGTGAATGGACCCACACCAGACTGAGATGCTCTAGATATCTGAGGTGAGGTCAGGTAACCTTTTCCAATTGTCTCATTACACCTGTGTCCTTGAGATTGAGGACTGCAATTTATCTGAATAGTATATCAAGAATGAATAACTGAATGCTGATGGAAGCAAACCAGCGGAAGTACTTATGGAGCCGCTAAAGGCTAACTCCCCCTTGACGGATACGACTTTAATCTGAGGGCACCACTAGGGGTTCAAACTTTGGCTCAGGCCGTCGTAATTTCGATCCCCATTTGAATTTGACGGGGGTTGTTCGGACGATGTTCTCCTCCGAACAACCCCGTCAAATTCAACTTCGTGTACCTTCTGTTCAGATCTATTTGATAAGATATATCTTATCATCCCATTATTATTACTGTGCTGACCCTATTTAATTTAATATTATCTAAATTTCCATCAATTTTAATTTATTTAATTATTAAATCTAGTCATTATCACTTACCTATTAACTATTACTGTCATAATTTGTTCCCGTAGTAGGGGTATGTACTTGGTCATCCATATCAAATTGTATATAAACGCCCTGTTGACGTAACAGCCAGCTTTGTAGTATGGGAATTGTTCTATCACTGTCTTAATTAGGATATCACTAGTCCTGTAATATTAATTCACAAGATCAGAATATAAGCAGCCAAACTGGATGGTCAAATAGTGATAAAAATATATATGCAGAAGTGGACAGAAGGGGCTATCATTACTAATAATTAATTTTGTAAATCAGTTAATTTCAGTTAATAAATAATTTCTAGTTGGGATTTGTGATTATCTATAAGAAATATATGACTCAGATTAGAATCATATAATTGTTATTTTATATGATTTGTTTTGCCATAGAAGCCTAATTGTTTCTGTTTTTTGGCAGAACTCTTAACTCTCTCTGGCCCTTCACAACTAGTGTTTACTACATATTTTGAATATTTACTACTCAGTACTCCATACAAGTCTCATCACATTTTCTTTAACTCTCTAATTGAAAATATAAAATAAAATAAACATGTCCAGAATTAAAAACTAATAAACTCTTAAAAACAAAAAACATATTAGGAGTATTTCATGTATTTTATATTGATGTCTTTTTAAACAAATAAATATTTCATATGCAATCTGGCCTCATCTAATAAAAAAATGTGAAATGCATGCATAAGAAACAGAATTCATAATATTAATTAGTGAAAAAAACTTACGCATTACATTAAAAAAAAGCATAGCAGTTGTATACTTACATAGGTATGATTGCAACAATTTGTGCAATAATTGTGTGAATGTTAGACCATTTAGCTATTGACTCATCAGGTGGACTGTCCCCCCAGTTTTCACCATCAGCTGTAATAGAAATAATTATGACAATTATATACCTGCAAGTAAATTTAAAAACATATAAAAAAAAACATCATCATACATTATGATTTTCATACATCTACTGTAAATGTAGAAGAAAATAGAAATATAAATAATCTTTATTCAAATAAATTTATTATAAGGACTATTGAATGCCAATATTTTTTTATTTTACCACTAATATGAGATGCTGACTCATCACATCTAGTTGTGTCTATCTATCTATCTAATAAACATTAACAAGTATTAGGCATGCAACATTCAACATAAAAACCGATATGCACTTAATATTTATGCAAGTACTCAATATTTATGCAAAAAGTTATATGAAAAAATATATTATGTAATAAACAGTATGTGACAGTTGCCATTCAATATATGGATCATAGCTAGAGCTATATTTAATCTTACAAAAAAATATTTGGTGGAATATATGTAGTACAGGGCTATTACCAGTGTTTATTTAGTTTCAATTTCTTTTGTATAAAAAAAGTTAAGACAATTAGTAACCCTGATAAAGCTAATTTAATTCTATTCTTATAATTGGTATGGACCAGACCCTCTCCTCACTAGTTATTTTTTAATATTACCCATAAAAAAATGACATGCAATAATTGTATATTTAGCAACAAAAAATAATTATATTTACCTTTAAACATTTTCATGAAAGCATTCATAACTTTGGGACAGTGGTAAATATGTGCTGTAACAAGGCTTGTAACAAATTTATTGAACATTTCCACAAGCTCTTCATTACGCATTGCCCACTCCACACCACAAACTAGTTCAACAAACTGGCTACACTCCCTACCTAACAAAACGACACATGACAAGCTATCTTCAATTAGAATTCGAAAATTATCATCATTTAACTGATATTCCTGCAGTACTTTCAGTAGTTCAGTATAACTACCTACATTCCTACTCTGTATATAACTCAATAGTATATGTTCTACTTGGTTTTTATTGAATTTAAACTTTAAACGGGCCATAGCTGCTTGTCTATTTAAAGTTTTTTGCATTAACGATGTTACACTTTTTTGAGCCGCCACAGCCATCTTATTTCTTGAGATCCGACGACACCGACTTTAAATAAGCAATTACTTCCGGTTGGCGTAGTAATTCCGCCTTCTTGTGGTTTAGAACCTCCCTTAAAACGTTACTACTGTCTTCGAGTGCTGGCACGGTGAGCGCACTTTGTTCGAAACTTGTGCTAGGTTTGCTGTAACTGGTACCTGTATCTACACTTTCAGTACTTTTCTTATCCTTTAAGTATGTTTGTAGTCTCTCTAAAACAGCTTTATTATCTCCTTCTTTCTTTTCTGCACTATAACCTTCTTTGGACATAGCTCTTCATAAAATTACATTTTTAGTTCACTGAACGTCTAGCTACAGTTAAGACAATATTTTCTAGAAAATGTGTATTAACGATCTGACTACACAATTGTTACACTATATTGTGTAAATGAAGAAATTTTAAGATTTAACTTTAAAAACACGTGTGTGTAACCAAAAAATCAGTTTACACGTAAAACGTAAGTGACTGAAAAAGTGACAGTATGATTGAATTTACTGATTACTGACGTCAGTGACGTCTAAATGTCTAGTGTCAGTCTTTTTTCAATACCATGTACTTCAAAATAGCAAATTTAAGTCAGATTTCACTACGACTCTCTCTAAAGAACGTAAAATTGCATTTTATGTTATACATTTATTTATTTGTTATTTTATATAACATCAAGTCTTTCTAAGGGTCCAATTAATTAGATTTATGGCTATAGTATAATAGATAAGTTAATTTAAATTAATGTCGGCGACTAACTACTCCCAATAGTAATTTAGACTTGTTCTACTTAGTAGTGAAAATTATACTTTACTTTGTTTTCTTGTTAGTTGATAAGTAATCTGTGGATGAATGGAATATTAATTTCATTTAATCTGTCTATTCTCATTTTGTAGTTTCCGAAGGGTGTAATGCGTGTGTTTTTCATAGTTCCGGATTTATATACTTTATTTTATTTTATCGTAGTATCAGTGATTACGTAGTGTTATTACGAAAATGCATATATGGAAAGCTTTAAAAATATAATGTAACATAAGTGGTTTGTTGTCTATCTTTTATATGGGCGTTGATAATCATGCAAAATGGCCAACGATTGGTGGTCATGTACCTGTTGTTCTGAGGCTTTGACCTGCTGGCTTCGTCTTAAGCTATCACCAGAAGAAATAGAACAGAGATACAGGAGTAAAGAAATCGACAGAATATTGGAAAAAGATAAACAAACATTGCGGCGGCAGGTCAAATTGTTGCTATTAGGGGCGGGTGAAAGCGGAAAGTCAACATTCCTGAAACAGATGAGGATAATACACAAAGTGAAGTTCGAGCCGGAACTTGTGCGGGAATACCAGCATGTGATATACCAAAATATTGTGAGAGGAATACAAGTGTTGGTAGACGCGAGAGATAAACTCGCTATACCGTGGGAAAATCCTAGGAATTTAGACGTGGGGCAGCAGGCTTTACATTTCAATAGTACAGCATCGTTGGATAACAGACTTTTCATGCATTATGCGCCTCATATTCATTCCCTGTGGTTGGATAGAGCCATCAAAAGGGCATACGACAGACGAAGAGAATTTCAATTGGTGAGTAACAACTTATGTTTGCCAAGTAAACAATGGGTGTTAGACCTTTGTTTTGTTTTGAATTGGGATTTACTGTTGCGGTTTTAGATACCTATATACCACTGAGTAATATATTGAACATAAAAGAATTTGTTTTATTTTAAAATTGTGTTCAATAATTAGGATATTTTAGCCTAAGTTATTTTTAATATTTTCAAAATAATTACTTTAATTGCTGTTATAATTTTTTTGTGTATGATTAAAAATAGTGGCTTATTTGATCAGTTTATGACTGTTTTGATCTGATTGTTCTGATTGTTGATCTGATTGATCACTGTTCTGATTGTTATATCAAACATTGACAATCATAAAAAAATACTTTAAAAATTAGGAGTAACCTTAGCAATTAAGAGTCATCGGCATTTATAAAGTCCTCTTCTCTTCTTTACCCTAATTTCAGAAAAGCTAAGTTGACTGGCTTTTCTTTATTTATTATTAAATTGGAATACAATTAAGTGAAAAAGATGAGAAAAACAGATTACAGTTGACAATAATTTCTCAAAATTGTCATAATTTTGAGAAATTATTATCAACTGTAATTATTCATTGTGTTCTTTAAACAATTGACTTTTTAAAGCAAAAAAGGTGGTTGTGATCTAGGTAATATATTTTTGGGCTTTGCTTTAAAACTGCCTAGGGAAAAATAACACCAAAATACAAAATTAATTACATGAAAACTTTTTTATTATTCTCTGTAATTTTGTGATCCTATTGAGGTGCTTATAATAGTCATTTATAATAATGAAAATTAGAAGGAACCATTAGAAATAATATGTGATATAAATAATCATTATTATCAATATTCTGTTTTGACACAAGTATAATAAATATTAACATACATAACATATAAAAAATCTATTCCTTTCTCCTTGTGTTATACAAGTCAGGGAGAGAACTTAGAATTTTTTAATTTAGGTACATTATATAAGATCATCTCATATACATATATAAATTAAGTCAGAATAAATTATTTTCTGCCATCTCTAATTTGATACTAAGAATTGATATACCATAGCAATATGTAAATATATGGGGATAGTAAGATACATTTTTAAATTTATTAGAGAGGACTATATAATATTACTATATTGTTAATAAAGCTTAGTGGCACTGGGTGCATCTTTAATATATAAAAAAACAATATTATAAATGACATTCTGATACTTAGGGGGCACATCCATATTTAAGTCAGACATACAGGTATGGGAGAGGATTAACAAAGAAATATGATGATGAGCTATTGTGACCAGAATTGATGGAGCCAGTACCATAATGTTAAATATCAAAAAATAAATTTTAGTTATCAATATTTTAAGTGGAAACATAACAAATTTTTATAATGTTGTTAGTTTATTAATTTTATTTAATATATTCTAAATGTGTCATTGTAATATATCTATTGTCACAAACTAGGGGGAAGAGTCTCACAAATATGACCATCTGTAGCTTGGGGGGTGAATCATGAAATTAATCCGAGATTATTTATGGGTGGCCTAATTGTCATTGTATGTTTTTAATGTGTGTTACATATTCATATTTAATAAATTATTAAGAATATATTACACAATATAAAACAATAACAAATGATTCATATAAGAAATATAGAAAACAATATGATTGTAGTTCTTCTAGAATTTTTATATTCTACTTATTCTTTTGACTTTATTTCTTTTATGTCAATATGTTTTTATAAAATTGTAGACAAGTGTTCATATTGTATTTATTTATAGGATGTTTACAATAGTAATTTTTTGCCCAGTTAGAGAATCATAGTATCATCATAACTGGGTGTAAAATTGTTATAAAATAGACAGCTAACTTTCGAAAGTAATATTAAAAAACAGAAGGAAAAACAGTATCAAATGTGTGGTAAGGTGATGTTGTAACAAAGATGGGAAAGGATGTATAAGAGGATTATGAGAAAATAAGGAAATAACTGCAAGGCTGGCCCAAAAAGAAATAAAATTCCTTCCATATTTAGTTTCTGAATTGTCTTAAAAAATACAATTAAATTTACTAGCTATACTTCCACTAGAATTTTCATAGTATCTTCTCAGGCTTTTCAGTCCTTCCGAAAAGCCCCACCATTCCTAGGATTTGTGTATATTGAGAGGCCACTACTACATAGTCTCCAGGGTTCCTTGATAAAATATTTCTGACGGATATAGCATATCTATCATTATTGTATTGTGCAGGAAAAAAAGTGCGTCGTTTACCACATCCTTAAATACTATAGTGGTCATCATGTACCTAACATAAAACAGGCATCTTTGGAAGTTTCAAAAGATAATTCTACGTATTATCCGCTTATGCGTCACATAAGCGGATAATACGTAGAATTATCTTTTTATGAATAAAAATAGTTATATTTTCTTAGTTAACAAAATATCATATTATTGTGATGCCACACTATTACAATACAGATATACAATTAAAGCCTTGCGTATGCATGACGCAACCTGCCTATGACTAATCAAATGAGATAAGAAATGTAATTACAATTAATTTATTTATACGAATACCATATCATATTTAGAGAACGTGTTGTGTAGGTTACTGAGGATCCTTCATGCTTTATTAATTCAATCTCACTGCTCGCATGACTTCGGATGAAACTATCCTATGTTCATATGCTACTAGTTTTTGTCCGACCCTTTGTCCTCGTGACAGGGTAAAGAGCAGCTATATGTATTTGTCTATCCCAAATGCTTATTAACAATTATATATGAAATTATTATACATTCTGACGCTGTTAAGGCGTGGAACCGTAACAAACAATAGTATAAATAATATTAAATTAAGATAAGATATCTTACAAGATTACTCTTTAAAATATTAAGTGTGTCTATATGTATGTATGATATAGCAGGCTTAAATGTTACTAAAAACAACATATCGTGTTTGAAATTGTTAAAGATTGATTGATTGACTCACGAATTATCGCTTCTCGAAATTGTGTCCTCTAGGCCTCAATTTTAATCCCGGCCCTCGGGCTGTCACGTGCGTTTTTCCTAAACTAGATGAAAGCATACTACGCCCAATAAGATTAATACAGGCATCTATGTAATATTTATAATGTTGTGGTGCTATAATAATGTAAAAATTATAAAAAAAAATGCCGTACAATAAAATAATATGAGCAGTTATTCTAATTTATTTTGAACTAAGCTATCCATTGATCCTTAGTTTATATTTGGTTAGGTGGTACTCTAAGTTCTTAAATTTGCCTTAGGCATGCCAACCTATCGTCTGCTATTATTCTGCCGACAGATCCTCTTGTAAGTGGAGGATTTTGCCTACAATTACCGTGACGGTCAGTTAGCTTAATTTAAGGTTTTATTTCGATATTCTCTCGCCTCTTACGACGTCAGTAGTGATAACAAATTCATACTGCGTCATCACACGCAGCAAAGCTACACCACATCCAATGCCTGATCCAAGAGCTGTCAAATTTAATGGCTAGACTGTTCTAGGCTACAATAAGCCGGTACAGTAAGAATGTCGATTGCTTTTATATTGTACCAAAGGAACAGCTCCTGTCCTACAATACGAAAGTAACCAAAGTATTTTTTAAAGAAATAATCATATTTATTGTTCCTAAAGTGTAATACCAGTCTAATAAAAAGGGAAATTATTTTAACCCAGTAGAAATTACTGTACTGTGCACTTTGAACTATAGGGGTCAGCTATAAATATTGTGCGAATATGTTTTATGACACGTCTATAAATGGGAGTTAACTATGTCACTTTATCGTGAATTGGATTTACAAGCATTTACATATTTTTAGCTAATTTCGCATTAGACCTGTCAAACCGGCTTTATTACTATGCCTAATCAAGACCTGTTTCTTATCATTATTTGTTTACGATTAGAATATTTAACGTATTCATTGCTAGCTAGAATTGTTTAAACTGTATTATGTATACAGCTATCGAGTCGCCTCGGCTTCACCTGGGTATTTTAATTAATTTACACATTAAAACGAAATTTACACCTAAACCTTCCTCAGGAATCACTCTGTAGATAGATGAAACTCGCTTTTCAAGCTTTTCAAGCTACCACCACGTTTGTACAATAAATCTCCTGGAAGCAGAATCATTTTGTCCTTAGTATGTTAAGTATACTGACTAGTACCTAATCGGTACCCAAGTTGTCCCAGGTTTTATTAAAGTACCAAATCAGTTCTAGAAATAGAATGACAGTACCATGTGGTGTGTGAGTACATTCGCTATAATGAATGCGCATCACATAATAATCGCTAAAACAGATGCAGTTATTCGCAGTACGCCTCTTAAGTAGGTAGGTAATTATTTTACTATACATATTACGAGTGTATGTATATATATTTAAACAAAGGATCGGTGTAGTCTAATATAGTTTTAATGAATGCAGCTTTTAAATAAGAAAATGAATTATTGGCACAGATATATAAAATGCACAGTGGAGAAAAGATATACGTTAAGGATAAAAACGGTCTTGGGGGTGTAGTGCTTTAGCACACCGCTTTACTTGCGATGATTTCTAACGATTCCTCGCACAGCACAGAGATTTGTATTCATGAGTAAGATTGTTTTGTGTTAGTTTGGGTATTTTCAGTTTGATTATATCACAAGTTCTGCTTAGCTTGGGACTACATGACGTTGTACGAATTGTCATTATTTTGTATACTATTTGAACAAACTACTCAATTTGTCCCAGAGATTTCAATTGCGGATTAAAAGTAGTTATTTAAGTGGTAGAGTATGCTGTATTACCACCCGTGGTTATGCAATTGCTTGAAGTTGAGGGTGCTCATAGGTGGCGGTAATTACTTAACATTAGGTGTGCCGCAAGCTTGTTCGACACTTATGCCATAAAAAGAAACTGACTGTTCGCATCACGGATATTACATTGCTTTGTACTGCTTCTGCGTTGGTCTTTTCTCGGACTAGGGGTGTTCGCGACCGATTCCCTGACTCTT